TCATGTCTCTATATTAACTTGGGCATATTAGTTAATATTTAGGATAGACGGTTTGAAATTTGCCATCTAGAATTCCATCCCTAACTTCAAAAAAGAAAAGGGGGGAAAAGTTATAGTTTAAGAAAGTGTAAGTGAACTGTATCCATCTTTTTTTCATGAGTGATGTGGCTTAGAAAGTATAATGGCCTAAATGTTTCCAAAATGTAAGTTCACGTGAAGAAGTCTTTGGTTTATGTGGGGAAAAACCCTATAGGTTTAAATGGTATGCTTGTCAGCCAGCTGGTTTAAAAGCTTTTTGTTTTTGTTTTTTTTAACCCACCCTTCCCTTCCTATGAGGAAGAATTGAGGGGGAGGGAAATTTATTTGTATACAATCTCCAAATTGGTGTTGATGACTTTTCAGCTTGAGTATTTTCAGATCTGATTAAAACTTGGTTTATTCTAATTTCTGTATCAAAAAGATTTGAGTGGTAACTAGTCTTATAACATGTTATGTATCGTATGTTTGTTCATCTAAAGCTTTTTAATCCAAATAAAAATGGAGTTTGCAAAGTGAGTTGGATTAACCAGGTTTGGTTGTTCTGTTAAAGCTTGTGTCAGATGTTAGTTTCAAGCAGATTTAATTCCTGCAAGTTCTGATTTTGTGCTAACAGGGACACAGCTGCCATTTTAAAAAGAAAGCTGCTTGGGTGGAGGTAGAGGTGAAGGTGAATGTCCAGACCCCAGGTTCTGGGCTCAGGCTAAATGAACACAGAAGCTGAATGTAGTCAGACTGCAGCCAGGAACAGAGACACAGGTTCAAGTTAAAATTGAAGAAAGAGTTACTGAGGGTGGAAGGTGAGGAAAGCAGTAATATCCCAATCCAGATAGCGTGTCCATGGACAGAAGAGATAGATGGGCCCAGGTGTGTCTTTGATACATTTATAAGCTCTTAAAACACAACCACACTTTTTAAAATAGAAAGTGTTGGTAAAATCAACCAACTGTTTTCCTCTAACATCACTTTGCAAATCCCTGTGATTCTGTTCTCCAGAGTGGAGTGCTGTACTGTTAACTGTGTTCATAAGCGTATTTTGAATGATCATTAATATAGATGCATTCCAGCTGAACCCTGTGTGCAGACAAATAATGCTAATATTGCTCTGTTCCTTTTGAGTTTGGAGATGTGCTAGGACAGCTGAATGGAAGGTCAGAACTGACCAACTTTAATAGACTGTACCTTTCCCAAAAATAGATGCAGATTGTACATAAATGTGGCAAGACATTTCCAAATTTAATACACCTTTGAAGACTAAGCAGTGGGATTTTTTCTGGGCTTTACTGGGAGAGACATTGCTTTGGAAAACACCCTTGTCCCAGCATATATTTTAATAGGACCACTAGATAAGCAAAAATAGCCTTTATTATTTACTATGTGCCAGACTTGGGTACTTTCCATATTAATTAAAGTAAGGCTCCAAAGCCCACGTTCCCAACACCACAGTGGAGGTAGGTTCCTAACAATAAGTGCTAATTAAACATCTGTCATTCCAAAATAATTGCTGTAATTTTTGAAATTAGGGTTATTTGTTTTTTAATGTTTTGCCTTGACATTAACAATAGGGGGCACTGCAGTTCTACAATCAGCATAGAAGATCTTTGCTGTACTTTTCACTTTAAATCATTAAATTCCAGTGACTGCTAAGTAGAAGACTGGCGGTTCAAACCCACCAGCCACTCCTTGGAAGGAATGTTGGGCAACCTACTTCCTAGTGAGACAGCCTCAGAAACCCAGGAGTCACTATGAGTCAGACCTGACTCGATGGCAGTGAGTTTGTTTTTTGGTTTTGGCTAAGTAGGATCACATTTCTAGTACCAAAAACCAGTTGCCATCAACTCAGTTACAATTCATAGCAACCCTGGAGGACAGAGTAGAACTCTGCCGCATAAGCTTTTCAAAGCTACAATTTTTACGGAAGCAGACTGACACATCTTTCTCCTGCTGAGCAGCTGGTGGGTTCAAACTGCTGACATTTCAGGTAGCAGCCAAGCGCTTAACCACTGCACTACTCTTTATATTCCTAGTAAGACAGTTAAAAAAATTTGAGGCAAAGTTAAAAAAAGGACTGCACCTTGGTTAACACAGATCTGTCTTCTTCTACAGCATGGGAAGTAACATGCTCTGAAAATTTCTTCAGTTTATTATAAGCAGGCATCTTCCTGCCAGTTCAAAGGTGTTTCACCATTCAGTAAATCAGTGGTCAAATGAAAAACAAATGGAGAGGAAAAACTTCAGGGAAGGGTGACATAGAAATCAGGCTAGTGGTTCCCTCTGGGGTGAAGGCAGGGGATGGGCTACAGAACCGACCACAGTTGATGCTGCTTGTTGCAGATGTTCTCCTTCAGATGCAGTGTGATTATTAGTTTAGTTCACTGTCAGTCATTGTAAGAGGTGTGTATGTTACATACTCTGTAAAATTGGGGCAGGGGGAGGGAATATGACATAAGACCATACAATTGAGAGAAATGCTTCATACCACAATTTTCGTGTCTTATGCAGCAGTCAACTAAAATGTCTTATCAGGTTAGGTTCACCAGAACTCTTCAGGTGGCACAACTCACGTAGACTGCATCAAAGCACATCCCCCCTGCTGCTGCTGCTCTCCCCTGGCTTTCACACTTGAGCCATCGGGCGACAGTGACTGAGCTTGCTCTAGGTAGTGCTTTACTGAGTCTGAGTAGTCAATTTTTCTTTATTTACACTGAACTGGTTCTAACACACATGAACTTAATTTAGAAAAAAATCCCTTGTAACATTTTTTAGAAAGATAGTATTTGTGGCAGAGATCATTAACAATGAGGATGCCCTGTGGCTTTAAGCATCTGCTTGCTTACTCATGATCTGTAGTTAGAAACTATTTTGAAACTCAGTCTTCTCTGGATAAGGTTTGTGTTATCTTGTTTGAAAGAATGTTATTATTCAAGCATGTTCAAAGGATGTTGGTTATTCAAGCATGGAAAGATGCCTTTACTTTTTTTTTTTACCAGTTGACCCAAAATTATTCTGGGTCAAACTACAAAATCTCTCCCAGTAGAATGAACTTTTTTTTTTAGTTTCAGACACTGGTTGCTTGACACTGGGTAGGTTCACTTTCGTAGAGAAGGAGCAAGGGTTTTTTCTTTGGCAGTTGGATGAAAGCAGCAGCCACATACAGAGGAGCACAAAGCCTGCCATCTGCTGTCCTCATAGAGGTCCAGCCTGCCCGTGTCAGCGGAGCCAAGCAAGGGACAAGGCTGTTTCTGTTGATGGGAACACTTGCCATGAATAATGTGTGGATAGTCAGGAATTGCCACCACTCTAGCAAAATGTTTATAACTTGGTAGCCAGCAGAAATGTCATCTGCATAATTAATTATCCTGGTAAATGATCTCACAATGGGCAAGATCTTTTATGTCATTATTAAATTTGAATCCTACAAAAGAGCAAATAAAGTTACCATTTGTTGGCTAAAAGGACTTCACATATAATTCAAATTGCACTGAAAAGCATCCTGCTTGATCCTTGAATTTTCATTTCAAAGAGTATCATGGACTAGGTTCAGTAGGTGGGTATTATTTTAAGAGGAAAACAATTTCCCTCAAATCTGTCCAAGAGTGACTTCTTGTTGTGGTGGTTATGTGCCTTTGAGTCACACCCAACTCGTAGTGACCCCTCCTTGGGTTTCTGAGGCGGTATCACTACAGAAGTAGATTGCCCAACCTTCCTTCTGAAGAGTGGCTAGTGTGTTTGAACTGCCAGCCTTCCGGTTAGAAGTCAAGTGCCTTAGGCACTACGCTACCAGAGCTCCTAAGAGTGACTTAGGGAGTATTTATGCGCAAACTGTAAAACTATAAAAATTCTTTGTAAAGGCAGTCCTTGGAATACTGCTCAGCTGCTAAAGTACAAGAACTCTGGAAAGTAAATTTTTAAAGGCATTGAAACCACTAGTGAAGTTTCTTGTTCACTTTATTGACTGCTGAAGTTCAGTGTCCGATGCATCTTCCAACCTTCTCTGAAACTGCCTTTCTGAGGCTTTTCTACGGTAGACATCATCTGTATCAAACAAAAATTTTGCTTAGACGTTTAAAAACCAGGAATTAAAAATACTCAGATCTGAGCAGAACAGTTGAAGCAATAGTCCAGATCCATCAGCTATTTCTGAGTCTCAACATTAATGTCTAAATGTCAAAATAAACTTAATTTCAAACAAAATGAGTTAAATAAGGGCTGTGTTAATTGAACTCTGGATGTTAACAGGGTAACAGTCATGGCTTCAAAGACAGGATCTTTGTATCCACCAAGTGAGTTCTTTTCTGAGTTCCTACCATACCTCTTAGCAATGTTTTAAGACCTCCTCCTCTTCACAGTTTCTATTCTGTTTTCTGAAGCTATCCTCCTTAACTGAAACCTGGACCCCTAAAGGCACCTCCTGCCCTTTAGCCCTGTGTGATGAATGCTCCCTCCCCCACACCAGGAACCTTTGGGTCAGAGAGTGAGGTCAGTTTCCTTGCTCTCAGTTGCTGCTTTTCCAGACATGAGTCTCCACCCTCATATGAAAAACCCTATTCCTTTGGAACTTAAGCCAACTTTGCTCACAATTTGCTTTCCATCCTTCCCTGGCATCCAGCTCAGGCTTCTTGACCCTATCCACCCCCAGCTACACAGGAAACACCACCCATGGGGATGAGGCCTTGACTCTGTGACCTCTTGGCCCATCCCCAACTTCTGCCATCCACTTGCAATGGCCCTCTGAAATCAAGTATTCTGCTCCATGACCACAATCCCTACCATCCTTCTAGCACTCCTGTCCTCGGAAGCTACCAACATCCCCCTCAAGCCCTTGGCTCTTGTCTTCCTTCTCAGCCTCTTCTGATTTTTCTCTACCCAAGACAGCAGAAATTCCTCTACTACTACTATTGTCAGTGTCATCTTGCAGAGCCAACTGGTGCATCTAACTGGGTCCACTGGAATGCCTGACAATCCCATTTCCTTAGCCATGACCCTGACTCCCAAAAGGCCAGAAACTTATTTCACAGAGAAGTCATTTGTGAAAAACAACTCCAGCTGACTTCCAAGGGCTGCTTGCTACTACTTGAGAGAGCAGAGAGCCCTGCTCTGATCTCAAGGTTCTTCCAGACTCTTAATCCCCTTAAGGATCAGTATTTGCTTATCAAGTCTTTCCCTTCCAGGGACAGGTTACCATCAGAACCTATCTTCTTGAAGAGTCACATTTGCTCATGGTTTTCCTTCTCACCTCTCTGGCCACTGGGTCAGCCTTAAAATATCAGGGTTTGATTCCTCTGGTTTTCATCTCAATCTGCTTGAGAATGACCCACAAATGCAGATCTCTGGCCTAGATCTGCGTCCTGAATTTCAGATCTATATAACCATCTCCAGCTCTGCAAGTCCAAACTGGAGCCCAGGTTCGTCCTGCCTTTTCCCAACTTCGAAAAGTACCGGTACTCTAACTGCCCCACCACAAGCCCCGCCTCCATCCTCATCTCCTGAGTCCCCTCAGTCACTAAGCCCAGTGAGCTCTACCTCCTCCCATCCTGGATCAGACTACCACCTTAAACCTGGACACAGGCCAAGGACCTGGTGTCAATCACTGCCCTGTAAAGGCAATGGCACTTAACTAAGCCAGCCATACAGCTCCCTCCACAGTTTGGACTAAAATGTCCAGAGGAGATTGACTAGTAACAGGAGTTTCCGCGAGTTCTCAAGATCCACCCCTTCGAATTCTGTTCCTTGGAACCCAACAGTGTCACCAGCATGGACATGAAGGACAGGCTTACGACGAGGGAGAGGCCTGGCTGGAGTTAAGTGCAGGAAAGAGCTCAAGGTTGGACGTCAATGTGCCTTTATCGCCCGCTTACAGGAGGACCTCCACGACTAAGGGAAGAGAAGTGCACTTGCCCTTCCGACAACGGTAAAAGCAGCTCAACTGAGGAGCACTGAATGTTAAGAGCTATCTGCAATCTAAGAATGTCCCAGGAACACAGGCCCCTGGCTGCCTCGTGCCTTCCGGAAATAAAACCAAGGCTGCCTCACCCCGCACTTACAGAAGGTCTCCTGGCCGACGCGCACTTTGATCATGATCCACTCCATTGTTGCTCCGAGAATAAAAAAGAAGGGCAGAAACCTGTAGATACCAAGTCGCTCCTTCCCGGGAACCCGCTGCAGAACTTGCCTCACCTGGGCTCTGGAGAACATGCTCGACCGAGGTCCTGGAGATGGATACGGCGGAACCGGAGCGATTGAAGTTGTTCCTGCCTTTGGGTTGGTGCGCCCAGACCCGGTCAAGGTCTCCGTGCCAGCCCTAGGGAAGTGGACGGCCTGTTCGCACCGCGGTACAGGGCCTGCGACGCAGGCGGAGGCTCAAGCAGTCAGAGTGCTGTGGGGCGAGCGGACTTGCCAATCAGAGTACTGTAGAGCGCGCATGCTCCGTGAGCTCAAATCGAGCCTGAGGGGAGCCGGCGCAGGCGCCTTGGCTCTGGAGGCGGGGAGGCACAGGGGGGCGGGGTCGTCCACGTGGCGCCGCCCGGTCCCCCGGCCCCGCCCCCCAGCTTTCCCAGAACGGGCCGGTGCCCCCTAGTCTGCCACCGCCATCTTCTTTCCTAATACCCTGCTATTAGTAACAACCCTCTTTGATGGACTGTATGTATACTGCACCATACTTTAAAATACAATTACGCAACGCATTGCGTTCGATTTGGAGACGTGACTGGTGACCACACTTCTAAAAAATAACTGAATTTGATATGCATTTTTGTTGAAGGCTGAATTATATCGTTATCCTAACAGGTCTAAATAAATGTCTTCTACAAGCAACCCTAAAATCTAGAAGGAAAAAAAAAATCTATCCTGTATAGGGCACTTACTGATAGGCACTTGTAGGTGCTTTTTATCATCTCATTCACAACAACCAGAAAAGAACATGATGCTTAAAGAGCATGGACTCTGCTGTTAGAACACAGCCTGCTCCACAGTACTCCCTTTAGCCAATCTGTGCCTCAGTTCCCTAATCCATAATATGGGGCTAATATCAAGTACCTTTTTCTGATGCTGTGAGGATTTAATAATGTAACACATTAAGTCAGTTTTTTAGGATGTAAAACTAGTGGCATGGTAGTGTTTGTCTGCTAATCAAAAGGTCAGCGGCTTGAACTCACCAGCAGCTCTCTGGGAGAAAGACTGGTTCTCCTTGGAAACCCTATGAGTCGTTCTACTCTGTCCTACAGGGTGGCTATGAGGGGGAATCAACTCAATGGCAAAGGGTTTGGCTGGGGTTTATAGTAATTATGATGATAATGATGACTTACTGAGCCCTAACGCTTTACATGGATTCCCATACATTACCTGTTTTCATCTGAGAGGTTAAAAGGTTAAGCTAAGTAGAAGATGCACTCCAGCACTTTCACTCTTCACCTGCTGGTTGTGCTTGCTGAATATATTTCTGAGGGGCTGTCAACCCATTGCCTACAGCTAAAAGAACAACTGGGAAGCAACTGTAAGAAGGGAGACAAATATTAGTCAATCCAGGAAATTCAAATGGAACCTGAGAACCAGTAAGAGAGTTTGATGATGTGGACAAAAGATACAAAGACAGGTGGAGAGGTGAGAAGGAGGGCAAGCAGCTTCACCAAAGAAAGGGTCTTGGGGCTGTGGGGACAAGTCTCAGCCTGGAAAATGGAGCCCTTTCCTCCCCATACACACGTCTGCTTGGCACTCCCATTTCTCTTGGGGGTTCTGAGGACCACACACTAAAGCGTGCCTCCTCCCACCTTGAAAGAGCTCTTGTGTCCTCAGGTCTCTAGCACCCGCCTAGCCAATTGTTCTTGGCATTGGTTGGCAGCCACCCACGGGTCCACTCATTGCGTTCCATGCTATGCCAGCACCTGGCCCAGGGTCTGGCACATTATAGGTGTGCAGAAGAGTGTAACGTTCAGTGGAGCTCTAAATGTACACACGATATTAAACCCCGCGGAGCACGTCTAGCAAATAGTGTGCCCCCCCTGGCAGTTCCACAGCGACCTGGGTCCTAACTACAGCCCAGCATGGTGCGGGTTCAGAAAAGCGATCTAAGTAGAAGAATCGCCAAGTGGAGAATAGCTCCGAGGAAAAGAGAGGAATTTCAGAGGAAGACTGGCAACAAGACAAGAGACCCTGCATCTCAAGAGGGGCCTGTGCCCAGAAGCTAGTTTGGGCAGGTCGGCGTTGCCTTTTGCTGCGGTCAGAAGTATGTGGCGCAGTGGCTTCCAGCCCACCCACAGCCCTGCAGCGCAGAGTCCAGTCGCCCTGCTCGAATTAGGAGGAGTCACCTGTATGGGTACAGGGAGGCAGAGGAAAGGAGGTGCCACAGCAGACCTTGGCCACCCTGCAAGTCCCGAGGTCTCCCCTAGCCGGGGTCTAGGCAACGGGGCGTGCATGGAAAGAGTTCTTTATTCACTGGGAGGCTACATCTCTGAAGCTCCCCAGGCTCGGATTTGCGGACAGTGAAATGAGGGGATCGGAGGCGGGGAGAAGATTCTCGGCGAAAAGACTGGAAGGGGGGTGGGGGGCGTAGGAATCCGGGCAGGAGGACTCGGAGAGGGGTGAGGGCGGGAGCGCACCGGGCCGAGGTGGACCCTCAGCACTCCAGCCTGCTCCTCTCCGCGCTCCGGCCGCCCGGAATCTCGCGGAGGCGATCGCTCTCAGGCCATCCGACCTCTCAGGCAGGGGACCAGAGAAATAGCCGCCATCCTCGCCTTGGCCACCGAAGGGGGCGCAGAGTCCTTCTCCACCGCTCCAGAGACTGGGGGAAGGGGCGGAGGAGCCCGCCCTGCCCCGCCTCGTCCCGGGACCTCCCGCCCCCCTTGGCCAAGTAGAGCGCCCATTGGGCGGCCGGGCTCCGCGCGCCGCGCCCATTGGCCGGCCGCCGTGAGGACCACGCGGCCACGGTGGCGGCCGCTCAGTCGGAGGGCGGCGGACTGGCCGACGGGCAGAGGGCAGCGCGGGCCGCGCACAGCGGGCATGGCGGGCGCGGGGCTGCGGACGGCCGCCTGGCGCTGGCTGCTGTGCGGAGGCCACGGCGGGCAGCGAGCCTCCTCGTCCTCGTCTTCCTGCCCTGGCTGCGGACCCCCGGGTCCCGGCGTCCCCTGCCCGGGCAGTCCGCGCCCTGCGCTCACACCCGCGCCCGCCGGTGGTGCCGACCTCGGCGCTCACCTGTGGGCTCGTTACCAGGACATGCGAAGACTGGTGCACGGTGGGTGAGCGGAGTGGGGCGAGCGAGGGGAGGGGGTCCCACGCGGCAACAGACGGAGCGCCAGGAGACTGCCCTCCGAGTCGTCCTGGGCGCCGGTCTTCTAATGAAGCGTCCCCGTGGGATTCTCGCGGGGGCCCTGGAGCTCGAGAGCCCGCGGCTTTTCCGGAGAAGCTCCAGCGGGTTGACTTAGGGCCCCGAGTCTCCGCTGAACACCCCGACGGCGCAAGGAGGGCGGGAGCTTGGGGTTCCTGGAGCGGCCGCCAGAGTGAAGGGCCCTCACGGTCTCCCCCCGGGGTCCCGCCAGACAGGAGGCCGCGGCGGAAACGCCCCCAACCCCTTGTTTTCCGTCGGCCTTTAGTTGGGGCGGGAATACCATGGGCAAAGCCAGCAGTGGGTGCTGGCCCAGGGGACTTCTTGGAGACAGCTCCACCTGAGCACAATACGGGCTAGGTGTTTGGGCCTTGTAGGTCCGGAGCACTCTCAGTTCCGTGGAGCTGGGCGGAGGTGTTGGAGAATCAGGACCGAGTTAGCCAAGCCCCTGGAATCCAGAAGGATTGCTGCAGCCTTGGCGAGAGCACTTAACCTCCTCTGTTCTCTTCTTCTGCAAAACGGGTTCATGAGGGCTGAGAGAGCTTCTCAGAAGAGAGGGCAGGTTGGACGTGCCCTAGTGGGGCCTGAGAGAGCAACCCACATTTGTCCACTATCAGGGTGGGGTCTTGGGGCCCAGCTTCTGCAACAGACAGATGCTATTTGTGTGGTGACCCTATCACTGACCAGCTGGCTGTTTCGTAGCAAGTCTTGCCCTCTCAGAACCTCGTGTCCCCGGGCTTAACACACAATGCTGATCCAAGGAGTTTCTGCAGCAGCCCCCAGAAGTGACGTAGTAGCTTTCATTGTCTGACAAGACAAAGTGCCCCTGTCTGGAAGGAAAGCCCTTCTCCAGCCCCTGAATACCACAGGCATCAGCCCCAGATTGCAGCTGGAGAAGGGCTTCCACTCCAGCTGTGTGGAAACTTGAAGAGTGGCTGTTTTCAAGCCCTTGAGCCTTTACAAGGACCTTATCCCTCACTCCTGGGTTGAATTTGTCTCCCCTGGAGAGAACAGCTTGCCTTACTAGTGTGGGGGAGGGGTCATGAGGAGTCTACTGGGCATTGTCCTCCAGGGCCCAGCCAGAGCCTGCATCTTTGCAGAGACCTCTAAGCTCTTGGTTGGGAAGGAGCAAGGTTTCCACCAAGCTCCCATCATGAGGACCATGCCCCAGCCTCATGCCCCTTGGCCCTAACTCCTTCCTATCCAACTGGGTTTTATGGGGGAGATCCTAGGCATTGAAGTATGCCTTAGATTAATGTTTGTGGGCAAAACTTTGCCAGAGAACTGTGTCCCAGGCCAAGCCCTGGGCTCTGAGAGTGGTGCAGTAGCCCCCTTCCCCACTTGCCCCTCTTTGTCTCCCCGCTCCCATCTCAGCCTCAGTGTGGGGACATAGGAAGGCTAAGCAGAAAAATAAATAAACTCCATTTCCTACTGCTGGGTGGTTTGGAGCAAGTGACTGCACCTCCCTGAGCCCATTTCCATCTCTGGACAATGAAGGAATAAGTATCACTACCTCATAGGAGCATAGTAAGGATTGAACAAGATGAGCCTCTAAGGCTCACGCAAGGCAAGTTCCAATAAACAGCAGCTGGGAAGCCGGCACCCACGATTGAGTCTCATACTGTCATGGGGAAGAAATGAGCCTGGAACCTGGTGCCGTGGGACAAGCCAAAGGCTAGGGGCTAAAGAGAAGAAGACCAGTGCAGGTTAGAGGCCACGTCTTTGCCCAGCCCCCTTCTCAACCTGGGCTGTACGACCACAGCCTTGTGGAAGGGAGACCCCACGAACTCTAACAAACAAACACACTGCTGTCGAGTGGGATCTGACTCATAGCGACCCCTCTTTGGGTTTCCAAGGCATTATCACTATGTAAGTAGATTGCCCAACCTTCTTTCCGAGGAGTGGCTGG